GAAAATCAAAACAATTTTTACGCGTTTATACTTTAAACGCGTTTCTCTTAAAACTGCATTTTAAAAATCGGTGGGCACTCTAGCTCCGTCAATTTTCAATCAATCCTCTTGAGTCTTTTTTATTTTATTCGTGATAAGTTTATCTAGCGAAATACGTATGGTTTTTTCAATGTATTGATATTCGCGTTTTTTATGCAACATTAATTGACGCAATTTAGGGCAAAATACGTATCTTTCGTTTCAAATCGATGCCATTTTGTGAAAAATGCATATTTTTGAAAACGGCTACGTATTTCGTTAGCTTTTGGGCTACAGAAACTAATTCTTATTCGTTTATTGTTCTAGCTTAAACTTGGACCGAGTTATCGTGCCCATCGCACGATCATCGATTTTCGCAGCGCTCCGGTAAATCGCCTTTCAAGTCGCCATTTTTGTAAATAAAAAAATACAAAAAAAAATATTTTGTTGTTATAATACCTTCCTGTACTTTAATTTGTATAAAAACGATTTAATTCTTCAAAAAAGATTCTTGAAAAACCGTAACTTTAGGGTGGGTCAAAGTGGTGTAACCCCTTAACACCAGAACAACCGACGGATGTCTTTGCCTTTAGCGGGGCGTCTTTGAAATTCGTCATTTTTACGGGATTGGTTGTTCCGGGGTTAAACGCATCCAAGACTTGTACAATTGTACGCGTCCTTGTTATATCACGCACACGTCGCCCCGTTCCTCCCGTACTTTCAGCCTATATTCACTAGTGCGTCAAATAAAATGTACACATGAATATTAAAATGATAACGGATTACTTAAAAATAAACACTCCCTCGACCGACGATCGCGCGGACCTCGACTCGGTTAATGCCTACGAAACTCGCGCCAAATCGAATACGCTACTTGATCGGTATATCTTATATACATTCAGATACAAGAGTATCTGACGGACGATTTAACGCAGGTAGAATCAGGCCTGCAAACCGTTTAACCGTTGAGGATCGCTTCCTGCAGTTTCTTATAACGTGTTTCATGTAGGTTGAATGATGCATGCGCGCGCGCGTGTTCTGTATACATGGGGGAGGAGAGGGTTCTATCGATTAATTGAATATCTCCCGAGCTGTTACTTTTATTAATTTTCTACACCTTTCAACTCATAACTTCACACATAAATCCTCAGTTTGTAATCCAATCGTAGTCCGAAATACACTGGAAGAAATAGCTAGTTACTTCCAGGGATTTTTTTCCGTCTCTTCCCGCTTCAGATTGGTCTTTATACCATTGGGTGGTCGGAAAAGTAATGACGGATTTTCGGTACAGATGGCGTTGAAAAATCCGTCATTACTTTCCCGGTAATCCGATGTATCGTTAATAGGTGTAGTGCTCGTAGGGAGGTCGTGGAAGAAATTAATAAATGGAACAGCTTTAAATGCAATTAATATATATCACACATGTATCATTCGAACAAGTTTGTCCCGCTTTAAACGGATCGACCGTTTGTAACCCTGATTAAAATCCAACCTATCGGATACGTTCGAACACCCTCGCATCGCAGAGAACTACACTGGACGTTCCTTGCTAAAAGGCCAAGTTGACGGCGATCAACATTGCGATTCTCTTGCTAGTGGTTTACAGCGAAGGATGTCCGAAGCCCTAGGGAGCTTCCTTCACCACGGTTCGGCACGTCAATTCCTTAACTTTTTACATTTGCGGCGCATCTCGATATGCCCTGATAAAATGACTCGTCCTCGGAGAACTTGAAGCAGGGTGTACGCGTAAACCCATACCAGTTTACTGATATACAATATGTATAAGTTGCGACCAAAGAGAGAGATAGAGAATGTAAGATCGGTAACGATCAGTGCTGGGTGCTGCGTGAAATTACTCATACCCCTACTTTTCGCAATATCATTAACGGAGTATATCATGTGGATATTTATTCGACGTAGAACACGATGCAGTAACTAATAAAAATAGTTACTTTCAAGGGGACGCTGGTATTCGGTAAAAAGGTGTTTTTCAAACGATACCGGCATTCCCCCTGGTGATATCAATTGTGGTGGTCGGATACTTTACGCTTATGTTAAACACGAGGCTCAGGAGTCGTTACATCGATTAAACATCTTGTAATGACTCTTTCGGGGCAACTATTGGAATTGGTTACTCGAAAGTGTTCCGTCTGAAGTAGGCACTTAAAAGTCGATTCCGATGGAATAAATAAAAACCCTTACTTCTTTAACCGTGTGAGTCCCACGCGCCATTTTCGCGCTCTTCAGATTTCACGTAGAAAAAAGCCCAGTGCATTTCAACGATACGAACAATTGACCGCGCACTAACGATCTGACGAAACGCGGTCAACTTTTTTACAATTTTTCGCATTTACAATTTTTCGACGCGGAATTAAAGGAGCGCCATCGCGCCGCTTGGATCTTTTCGCATCCTATTCGGAAAGCTCTATTGCGCTGTTCGGCTTTTTTCGAATATTGTTTTAACCCCTTGCACTACTTTCACGAGTCTGACTCATGATGAGAATTTTTGGTCAAAACTTAATATCACGAGTCAGGCTCGTGGTCTAATTTCATGTCAAACGTGAATATCACCAGTCTGAATCGTGGTCTTAATCTCGGGCCAGGCATTGATGTCTCGAATGGGGTCTTTTGTCCCAATGCATGATGTTTTTGGATATTTCCCGATATTTTCCCGATGCATGGGTCTTTCCTCACCATTTGGGTTCATCGCTTGGGCCCGGATTCTTCGAGGTAACCCTTAACGCTCCAAGTGTGCCTCTCAAGCACCACCGATGTGCATGTACACTGGCGGACATGAATGCCTTTCCATCATGCATTGCCGTTACCGTGTCTGCAGGGAAGGCATTCGTGTCCACCGCTGTACACTGGGAGACATCAATGCCCTCCCATCCTGCACAGGCGATGTCGTACCTGCAGGGCAGGCATTCATGTCCACAATGTACACTGGGAGACATCAATGCCCTCCCATCCTGCACAGGCAATGCCGTATCTGCAGGGGAGGCATTCATGTCGCCACAGTATATAAAGCTGGAATTGCCACTTTAGCACAATTCAATAACATTTTTTTGCAAAATTTATTGCTATTTTATTGCTATTTTATTGCACAAGGAAAAAATGTCTTGCTCTTATACTTTTCCGAAAAATGGTGGCGATGTCGGCTTGATATAAAACTAGCACTGCCTCGATAAAAAACAATTATTAAGTAAATGTTCATAGATGATTTATATACCAGAATTTATTGCTAATTAATTGCTCGCAGAGAAACCAAATTTCAATTTTTTTCCTCACCCCTAAAGGGGTGAATCGCCACCCCTAGTGCTGATCGCAGGACAGAAACATGAAAAACATGGGAGAATCGAACTATTTCTTCACGTGGGAATTAATTGCTAATTAATTGCTAATTATTTGCTGCGAGAAGAATCTAATTTCAAATTTTTGCACAACCCTTAAGGAAGTAGGCCAACCCCTCTTATGTCGCCCCAGCATAGCCACGTAGGGAATGGGAGAATCGAACTCTTTTTTCGCGTGGGAATAAATTGCTAATTAATTGTCCCGAGAAGAAGCAATATCTTCGTAAAAATACAATTTTCAAACCTACATTAATTAGCGATTAATTCCCACGTGAACAAATAGTTCGATTCTTCCATTTTTTACGCGGCCATGCTGGAGCGACATAGGCGGGGCTGGCCTACCACCTTAGGGGTTGTGCAACAAATTCGAAATTAGATTCTTCTCGGAGCAATTAATTAGCAATTAATTCCTGCGTGAAGAGATAGTTCGATTCTCCCACATTTTTCATGTTTCCGTCCTGCGATCACCACTAGGGGTGGCGATTCACCCCTTTAGGGGTTAGCCAAAAAATTGAAATTTGATTTTTCTGCGAGCAATTAATTAGCAATAAATTCTGGTATACAATTCATCGATGAGCATTTACTTAATAATTATTTTTCTTCTGGCAGTGCTAGCATTATATAAAGCTGACATCGCCGCCATTTTTCGGAAAAGTACAAGAGCAAAGAATTATTTTCTTGTGCAATAAAACAGCAATGAATTAGCAATAAATTTTGCAACAAACTTTATTGAATTGTGCCAAAGTGGAGATTTCAGCTTTATATACATCCGAGGCGTTCTACTCCTAGTGTGCTTCTCAGGCACCACCGATGTGTGGCGCTGTATTCCAAGTGTGTTGGAGTTGCCGATCGCTATTCACAATTAAAAGTGTGAGCGTTAAGGGTTAAATGGTAGGGCAAGGGGTTAAAAACCTCTGCCACTCAAACGGTTAATCTCTACTTACAAGGAAGGTACCTGAGGTGTCCCCCTCCGATTTTGTTCATTTTTAAATATGTTATAGAGGACTAAAATCTAAGGGACCCGTGTATTTCTTAATCGGCGGATAAACACTTTTAGGGGGTGAAATCAGGCTTCAAAGTTGGCCGTGCAAGGGGGTGAGTTGGCTGTTTCATATAGAAACACTCAACCGATTTTCATGAAACAACCGTCAAAATGTAGGGAATGAAGAATCATGAAACATGTATTTGGAATTTTTCGAAAAATTTCATTTTTAAGGGGTGAGCCACCCCTTTGAATACTTCTTTTACCCCTTACGCGAGCAGTAATTATTCTATCCAAATGAGACTTTTTTTGTATTGTTCTGGTTTATAAATTAACCATGTTTCATTTGGATAGAGCAATTACTGCTCGCGTAAGGGGTAAAAGAAGTATTCAAAGGGGTGGCTCACCCCTTAAAAATGAATTTTTTCGAAAAATTCCAAATGCATGCTTCATAATTCTTCATTCCTTACATTTTGACGGTTATTTCATGAAAATCAGTCGAGTGCTTCTATATGAAACAGCCAATTCACCCCCTTGCACGGCCAACTTTGAAGCCTGGTTTTACCCCCTAAAAGTGTTTATCCGCTGATAAAAAAAAAACACGAGTCACTTAGATTTTAGTCCTCTATTACATATTTAAAAATGAACAAAATCGGAGGGGGACACCTCAGGTACCTTCCTTGTTAGAAGTAAAGTCTTCCCTTGAAATATTCTTTCCAATGGCATTTCACCCAGCACTGGGGGAGATACAGCAACGATGGCGAGATGAGACAACAGCCAGGGTGACATCGAAGACGACGACCACGACGATGAGGACGATCACGAGGACTGTGGCTGTCGCGCAACGATTGAGTAAGAATAGTGGTACCTCGGCAGCAAGTGCTTGCCAGGATCGCATTTCGTGGCTCTCAATTTGACAACGGTGGTGGTGTAGGAGTCGGCGTGACAGTGAGGGTGGGGTGCAGGACCGAATCTCGGGACGCCGAGCGACTTCCTGCCCTCAGGAGGGTGACGGCCTCCCGCTCGAGGTCTCGCTTCCGGTCGCCGCTTCCTCCTCGCCTTCCCGACTTCCCGCCGACGAATCTGGCGCCTCCGTGCACTCCGGCACTTATTTCCGCGCACTGTACGGTCCCCCCGAGCCCGACAGTCACCGACAGTCATTTCTGCCTTCCACTCTTTTTCTTCTTCCGCTTGAAGAAACAGCAACATCTGGAAATGAAGCAAACACTAATAGGACTTAGAATCGCTTCTCATTGCTTTGTAGTTTGCGACATCAACATGCACCGAACGAACCGCTCTACGGAAGATAGTCATTTCCCATTAGCGAAGACGGGTAGCGAATGTCTACACTCTACCGATTTTCCACAAAGAAGCGACTTTTAACTGGCCGCTTTCCAAGGTTCCTCTGATTTCACTTTCTCGACAGTATCATGCAGGAGTACTCACATAACGTCGAAGTGCAAGTGCTAACGTTCAACAATTAGTCGATTAATTGATACATATCGGAATACGTTCTTTTGGATTGAGAGCGAGCGAATTTTGAATGTTCACGACAAGCGGTTCTAATAATGTATGTACAGTAGGCACCCCCACATCGGAAATATGGAATGAGACCTATTGAAGAATTTAGTGCTTTTTTAGTGCTATTTTAGAGCTACAACCTCGATTTTAGTGCTGAACGTTCACTCAGCACCCCCACAGAGCATACTGCGTTAAGGGAAAGATTCATGGAAAAAACGAGTATGCAGCATTTTGGTGCTATTTTAGTGCTCTAGAAATACCCAAGTGACAGATCCGAAACATCGCCCCTTTCACCCCAAAATTATCCTTGATCGTATAAGCGCCAAGAGAGAAGAGGTAGAAATAATAACATTTTGCATGTTCTCTTTTCTAATTATTCTGGTGCTATTTATGTGCTTTAGGAATACCCAAGAGACAGATCCGAAACATCACTCCTTTCACCCCAAAACTATCCCCGATCGTATAAGCGCCAAGAGAGAAGAGGTAGAAATAATAACATTTTGTATGTTGTCTTTTCGCATTATTTTGGTGCTATTTATGTGCTTTAGGAATATCCAAGAGACAGATTCGAAACATCACCCTCTTCACCCTAAAACTACCCCCGATCAAATAGGCTCCAAGAAAGAAGAGGTAGAAATATCAAAATTTTCACGTTGTCTGTTAGCATTATTTTGGTGCTATTTATGTGCTTTAGGAATATCTAAGAGACAGATCCGAAAAATCACCCCTTTCACCCCAAAACTATCCCCGATCGTATAAGCGCCAAGAGAGAAGAGGTAGAAATATCAAAATTTGCATGTTCTCTTTTCTAATTATTTTGGTTCTATTTAAGTGCTTTAGGAATCCCCAAGAGACAGATCCGAAAGATCACCCGCTTCACCCTAAAACTACCCCCGATCATATAGGATCCAAGAAAGAAGAGGTATAAATATCAAAATTTGCATGTTGTCTTTTCGAATTAATTTGGTGCTATTTATGTGCTTTAGGAATACCCAAGAGACAGATCCAAAACATCACCCCTTTCACCCCAAAATTATCCCCGATCGTACAAGCGCCAAGAGAGAAGAGTTAGAAATAATAACATTTTGCATGTTCTCTTTTCTAATTATTTTGGTTCTATTTAAGTGCCTTAAGGATATCCAAGAGCCGGATTCTAAAGACCACCCCTTTTACCTCAAAACTACTCCCAATCGTATAGGCTCCAAGACAGAAGAGGTAGAAATATGAAAATTTGCACGTTTTCTTTTCGCATTATTTTGGTGCTATTTATGTGCTCTGTGGATACCCACGATATCCTTAAAGCACTTAAATAATACCAAAATAATGCGAGAGAAGAACGTGCAAAATGTGTTATTATTTTTACCTTTTCTATCTTGGAGCCTATACGATCGGGGGTAGCTTTAGGGTGAAGGGGGTGATGTTTCGGACCTGTCTCTTGGGTATTCCTAAAGCACTTAAATAGCACCAAGATACTGCATACTCGTTTTTTCCGTGAATCTTTCCCTTAAGGTAGTATGCATTGTGGGGGATGCTGAGTGAACGTTTACTCAGCACCACCACCGATTTTTGGTATAAGGGGTGGAGCACTAAAATCGAAGTTGTAGCACTAAAATAGCACTAAAAAAGCACTAAATTCTCCAATGGGTTTCATTTCATATTTCCGATGTGGGGGTGCCTACTATACATACATGTACTAATTCTTCTTTCTAGTCAAAGGGGACCCTACTTTGTAGGGTCTCGTGAGTTCTATGCTTGTGTTAAATCTGTTTCATATCTAGTGTCCGTATTTTAAATCCAAAAGCTTTCAATCAAGCGGCTAAGAATTCGCCGTGCGCAATTAAGGTGATGTGAAAGTGCCGTCGAAGAGGTTTCGTTTATGAAACTTTTCACCGAATTGTTTCAAAGTTCACAAAGTGAATATGGAGACTACAAGGAAGGTCCTGAAACCGATGAGATTTCAATTTTTTAACCATTTGTTAATACGCAGTTTTAAAATTTTGTATAAAAAATGAAATTTCATGAGTGTCAGGACCTTCTTTACAGACTCCATATTCATGTTGACAAATTTAAAACGATTCGGTACACCCAGTTCGGAGAAAAGTTTCATGAACGATTGACTGTTTAGATGCCACTTTCACATCCCCTTAAGACTAGATCAAATGTGCCGGATGAATGTACCGAGTTAATTGTACCGCATGCAATGGCATTAGAAAATAAATAAGCGTCAAGTAACAGAAATAACGCCTTTTTTTGCCCGCAATTATAGATAGAGAGCCGAGACGCAACGCTCTAAAGTAAAAACATATATATTAGTCACCGTTTAAGTTAAGGCCATTGAGTATTCCGTTCAAAGTTACGACACAGATAATGCAACGTCCATCCGTTTTCAGGCAAAAAACCAATTTTTAGTACTGGCTTGGAATTGTAGGATGGATTGGGAAATTACGAAGATGGGATGTGAAATAAACGTCCACAGTTGGAGGGTTTGCTGGACGTTTCCCGTTGATTGCAAGTGCTGAAAAGAATACACAGCTAACAATTGCACATGCAGGTAAAAAGGATGTAGGCAAAAAGGATGTACGCAATAGGATGTACATTGATGACACACGGTTACTATCGATCACTCAAGACATATTATCGTGTTTCTAACCGTGCAATGAATTATTTTTCTACCATGCTTCGACACGTTCGCTGCGAATGAGAACTATTGACCTCCGACTTTTCACGTGGCTCATGAGCTCCTTAAGGTGAAGTGAAACATCCTTCAAATCAGTCGATTCGAATACAACACTTTTTTTTTAAGGGTATTAGACCAAACTGCCCGAAACTTTGACACATCACTCCTGATCATCTAAGAATTGTCCTGACACATTAAAAATTTGAATTTTTCAAACAAATTTTTTAACTCAGTCCAGACCAGAACCAAAATGGCGTCGAGCTCTCATATTTCGATCAATATACCATTATCGAAGGCTCTGATATGAGAATTGAAAGTCAGGACAATTTTACGACAATTTAGAACACTCTGGTAATCGATAAACTCGCATTTGAACGGGATAAAGGTAAAAAAAGTGTTGTATGCTCTTCTTTGCTAAAACGATGGGAATACGAGGTCTCGGAGTGAAAATTTAATTCACCTGGAAATCACAGATGGCGCAGGGGGTCCTTCCGCAGTCAATTAGGGCCCCAGAAGGCATGAATCCAGAGGATTTCTGGAGTTTTACTTCGATTTCTTCATAATTATTGTATGAAAACGACAGGTTGACATGCCATTTGGTACAATACACAATATAATTCGAGACAGCTGTCAATATAAAAACGAACGTCGGCAACGTAGGCATTTAGAAAAATCATCTTTATCGACGTTGATCAAGTTCCTCGACGTGTTTCACTTCACCTTAAGCTTTTGATAAAGATGGGCTTTACTCATCTTCGTCAACTTTAATGACACTCCTTTTCTAGTTTTCACTTAAGGTGAAGTGAAACCCGTCGAGGAACTTGATCGACGTCGATAAAGAAGATTTTTCTAAATACCTACGTTGCCGACGTTCGTTTTTATATCGACAGTTGTGTCGTCTTATATTGGGTATTGCATTAAGTGGCACGCTCCACCTGTCATTTACGTACAATAATTATAAAGAAATTGAAGTAAAACTCCAGAAATCCTCTGGATTCATGCTTTCTGGGGCCATAATTGGCTGCAGAGGAACACCTTGCACCATCTGTGATTTCCAGGTCAATTAATTTTCACTTCGAGACCTCGTATTTTCATCGTTTTGGTATAGAAGCGCATAAGACACTTTTTTTGCCTTTATCCCGTTCAAATGCGAGTTTATCGATTACCAGAGTGTTCTAAATTGTCGTAAAATTGTCCTGACCCTTTCGTTTCTCATATCAAAGCTTTCAATAATTGGACAATGATCGAAATATGAGAGCTCGACGCCATTTTGGTTCTGGTCTGGGCTGTTAAAAAATTTTTTCTAAAAATTCAAATTTTGAATGTGTTAGGACAATAATTAGATACGTCCCTAAAGCTAGCAGCGCCACGTCAGTATAACTACATAAATCATATACCAAAATTTATTGCTTATTTATTACACACATTTGAATTATATTGTTCCAGCCGTTTTAAAAAAATCAGCGGGTATGCCAACTTTAACATTAAGCTGACAGCTCCACCTGACATTTTGTGTGAAATGAAAAAAATAAGTGCTGCAAAATGTAGGAAAAATGTATTGCTTATTTATTGCTCAATTTACAATTTCACTGCTCCACCCCTTTAGCTTTTGGGGCGTATATTAGATGATCAGGAGTTATGTGTTAAAGTTTCGGACAGTTTCGTCCAATACCCTTAAAAAAAAGTGTTGTATTCGAATCGACTGATTTGAAGGGGGTTTCACTTCACCTTAAACTTTTACCTTAAGTTTTTCTCCGTTATGAAAAGCCGAGTCATTCTATTTTCGGGTTAAGGGGGAATGGTACCACAACTCGTCAAACTTCGAGTTGACTGTGCTGCCAACTAACGGCAAGTAGTGGAAAAAGAACTTCATCTCGAACTGAGTCATATGGCAAACAGCAATGAGTTATATATCACTGTCTAGAACTGCTTCAGTATATTGACGAAAAAAAGTTTAGCTTAATTCACTGTAGTGGCAGCACGTGACTATTCAGAAAAGTGGTGCCAAAATATAAAAATCTATAGCAAA